CAGCGATCCATGGTATCTAGTGCACACAATGAGTCAAGTCACGCACTGAATCCAACACTTCTTCATCTTAGTCGACTGCGGCATCAGGGACTTTATCCTCCGTCACCGTGCATTACATCTCCTTTTCATTACGATAGTGAGTGGGTATGATTTTATGCCGCTTTTTGCAGTATTCGAGTAGTATGACGGGCACCAGAAATCAGCTTCATATGTAGCCATGTGGGGAATCGAACCCGGGCTTTCGGCGTGAAGAATGTTTTAACCTCAAGGCTATGTTAAATTTCCCTGGAACAATTTGCTATAATAGCTTCATTCCTTAAGTGACATGGACCGCCTCCGTGGTGTAGTGGTTAGAGCGTCCGCCCGGAGAGCGGAAGGTCGCGGATTCGATCCCCGACCGCGTCATACCAAAAGACATTAAAATATGGTACTTGTTGGTCCCTGCCTGGAGCTCGGCATTAATGGGTACAACAAGGACTGGTCGGCTCAGAGTCAGTATAATGTGTCTGAGTGGGGTATTCATGCTTCACTGCGGCATGGTATCTCAGTGGGCTAGCACTATAAAACCAGCTTCAGTCTGGGCTAGTACAAGAGCCGCACATACACATACACACGCATGCACGTCGTCATATGAGCGAAATATTCTCAAGCACGACGTAAAACTCAATTACACCTCACCTCACCTTAAGTGACATCACCATCTCAATTCCTCCAATCAGTGATAACCCAGAGAACTTCTCTCGCAAACAAACGCTGTGTGATTGGACAGCAATATTTCAGCACTATTTCGCCGGCCTGTAGTTAGCCTAGTCGGCAGACCAGATAAACCCGTGACTGACATAATGAGCAGCCTCCGATGCCGTAACATGCGATGACACAAAATCCCCCAAGTCACCGTGCCTCCAATCCCGCGCCATCACATCGCCTCATACGGCACACACAGGTTGCTGGGGACCTATTGTATCTGATACCCCGGGGACACACTGTTACATCTGGTTACCAGGGAGGAGTCACTCACTTACATTCTTGTCAACACTGCTGTATTCCGTTTGAAAGCTTTATCTGTCTTCATTGCTGAAATGCCTAACGGCTCTAGAATGGTATGCATAAGTCAGTAGACTGGATGCCGTGTGAGTTCAGCTGGAACCTGCCGTGGTATGCCGGTTTAACTTGTGGTCAAACACATGCCCGGGGTGGCACAGACCACGCCCTTGGATGTCTGGGGTAGTAATTGACTTCACGATTTCCAGTTTTAGGGGTTTGGGTGTGGATGGGGTCGGGAAAAGGGTCTCATCCTTGGCTTGAGTCGGAAGATGTTTTTAGGGTTAAATAATTATTGTGTCACGGGGAGATGATATCAGTTTAAGATCAGTTGATTTTTGTGCATGAAATGGGCCGAGTTCTATATCATGAAAATGTTAAAGAGTAAGACCATGATGGCTGGTCAGCTTAAGTAGGAAGACCTTTAGTTCCATTTCTCCATAAATGTCCATAAATGTCTGGACCGTATAAAAACGTCTTGATCAGTTTTATCCTTAAAAGTTTCAGAAAAACCCAAGTAATTAGTTTTAACATCATTTTAAGTGGCCATTCGTTACGATGAGGCAAATTTCTAAATTCTAAATGTCTTCCAGTATCTTGCTATTTATTAAAGTAAAAATAATATATCCTTTAGCTCTTTTGTTCGGTTTTTGTTTAGCCGCCGTGAATGCGGATTACAGAGATTCCATAAGGATTTATGTTTATAAAAATACAATTAAGGTGAAACACGTAAAATAACATTCAACCCTCTGACAAACAACTTTCATTGCAACAAAACCAACACAGTCTTGAGGGATCGATCCAAAGTTGGAACCTCCGTCAAAGACTCTGTATTTCTCTCATTAATCATTAAGTTAGTGAAATATTTACAAGAACTCGTTCTAACCTGCTTAAAAATCGACACTCGCGCTTGAACAGACATGAAACAGCCCGCCTTGAAATAATGTATCTATTCTCTTCGGAATAATAGTTTTGTCAAGTGTTCTTTCTTCTTGTTAATTGATTCCCAACTGTTGGGGGATGTATATTTCATGAGTAGATAAAGCTGTTGATCTTACGATGTTTACTTACACGATTTCATCAGCAATTATAGTTATGTTTAGCATGTTATTTGTACAATATTCACTTGACTGGTACCGCTTGATTAGCTGTGTATTGAGTTGATGGCAACTAAGCTGTACACTACAGAACATCTTGATCGCTGCATAGTTCGCTTCACTTAAAAACGTCGATAATAGTTAACTATTTCCCATGATGAACTTTAAAATTACAAAGTTTTACCATCAATCTCCCCCATCAAACGAAATCACTCTGAATCGGATTTGAAGATGCGGAAACTAATCTCGCGATATGAAAAACGTAGCTCTTTACCGATGAAATTAATATGGCGTATTGTTCATTTCAAACAAAGGAATTAGCGACCATTTCTTGAAGCTGGGCTATTTATTTCCTCCAAACCCGCTTCACAATGGACTGTAATTACGGTGTAAAATTACATTATAACATTTGTTACACAATCCTCTATGTTTTTTTTGTCAGCAATTTCATCTCTGGTTGAAAGTCGTAAATCAGTTTTATGTTTTGTTGTGTTTCATTACTTGTTTCTGGGCATTAGTCAGTTTGATTTGGAAATGATAACCGAAACAAACACTATTAACATCTGAGACACTACCGATCCGTTGTCTTCACAACGACCTCACGATGACGTCATTTTGATGCGGAATAACAGACCGAGAATCTTAATTGATCCTCGAGTATGTTCCGATCTCTTCAACATGTATCTCGAGTAAACTCGGATGTTTACGTAAGGATCACGTCGCTTGTGACCGGTAGTTGAGATAACGCGGTACTTGGAAGGTGGCCGACCGTGTTGCACCCACTCAGGAGTATATCCCCATGTCGGGTTATTTACATGGAGTTTATGTACTATCAAGGTAGATATCAGGGTTTGTAATGTACACACGTCAATCAAACAGATCGCCTTGTTACATGCTGGAGAGGGAGTTTACATGGATTCCCCCGGAGCTTGCCTGGCGTGGGAGGTGGTATTAGGATTGTTTGAGTGTTTCAGATTGTACAGGAAGATGGTACTTGTATGTAAACATTATATCATAGGACCGTCATTTGTGACGCGGTAGGATGAGGGTGGGTGGATTGTTTCACATGGTTTCAAATGATCATAGTCCTTTTCAAAGATAAAATCTACCAAAGTTTTTTAGGCATTTGGTGAGAATGTAAGTGAGTGAGAAAGAGAACAAGCTTGTTTGTATTACTTCTTTGAGAGGCATGTTAGAAGTTGTATAGATGAAGGAAAACCAAGTCCTATGGATAGTCAACTTCTTTATTGCAATGAATGCGACGTTTCGGTGTAGGTACTTGCTTGATAACGGTGTTAGTACCTACACCGAAACGTCGCACTCGTTGCAATAAAGAAGTTGACTATCCATAGAACTTGGTTTTCCTTTAAGCTTGTGTTAGTACAAGTACATGTACACATTATTCCAGCAGTATGGCAACAGGGCACCGAGTACAAGGTTCACATATTGTATCCAGCTATATAGAGAATTGAACCTGTGACTTCAGTCTGACTAGTGAACACTTTCACCCACCAACCATTTAACAGAGACAACAAGAGCTACGCCAAACCAGGACGTCTTTAAATGGCATTGAGAGTGATACCCATAAACGGGGGAATTAATAGCTGCAACTTCTGTAATACGAGGAACACCACGATCCGGAGTATATTCTTACTCGTTCATCAGGTGCATGAAGGTGTCAGAATATAATTCAACTGATGAAGGAAAAATGATATACTCAGAGACGTCGTCTTCGACAGAAGTTGATAAACATGAAGTTTCCTCTATATCCTGAACTTCACAGTAGTGTTCAGAAACACTTTTGATCGTGACACCCGATTCGGTGGAAAATATCCAACATACTACGGTACACGTTTTTAAAACACAAAATATAAAACCAAGTCGTTAATTGTTTGGACGGTTTTAAATGGAAACCATTATCATCTTGATAAAAATCTAAACTTATAAAAAAACATAACCGTTTCCGTTAAATATCATACAGCGACACATTAACGTCGTTAGAAACGCAACAATAGTTTCACAGTGTTAAAAAACACCACGATATCAGCAATATTTGTTGAAATTATCATCGAAGTTGTGGATAATATAATATGCATGGATTGATGTGTGGATATTATTTGATAATGAGTAATTATTCAGTTGTAATCTGTGATCTAATACCCACGGGTATCCCCTCATTCCGCCTCATCCGCCGACCGGATCGCTCGTGACATGATTAATGGGTAGAATATCGATTTCCCGTCATTGACGAAGTTGATAATATCAATTAAAGATACTGTTACTCCACGTCTAGTCTGATATTCAACATCAGTGCTATTATGTGGAGAAATAACCGGCGCCCGGGATGGAATAATCAACTATCGATATTCCAGGAGGGTATAATATACTTACAGCTTGTTTCCTAAACTTTGACATTTTTGAAAGTTTGAGGGATAATTACGAGAACGATATTGATGAAAGGCAAGTCATGTGTGTTGGTTTCGCGTTCTGAAGTTACAGACATGTATTGTTCAGTGCAGACAGTTCAGTTATGTGGCTTATTGTCGGCCGGCCCATGTGTAAAGTGTGGGTTTGAAGTCAGAGCTGGGCCGCCATATAACTTCAAGTGGGAATAACGCTTTCTCAGAGGGGGTGGTGGGGTAGCCTAGTGGTTAAACTGTTCGCTCGTCGCGCCGAAGACCCGGGTTCAATTCTCTACATAGGTACAATATGTGAAACCCATTTCTGGTGTCCCCCGACGTGATATTGCTGGAATATTGCTAGAGGCGGCGTAAAACTAAATTCACTCACTAACTTTCCTACAGAATCTGTTTCAGAAACATTTATTTTGAATAAATTTTAATTGATTTTGCTTTCTTTCAGGAAGTAGAATCCTCATCCAAATTAGATCAGCATCCTGTTCAAGAATCACACGTTATCTCGGAGAAGTATGACGTCACAGACCAACAGATGACGCGATTAGCTGCACTTAAATATCAACAGGCGCTAATCAGAGGCTCCAAGAAAGGGCTGAGTCAGCACCATTCGGTAAGTCAAGATGGACACAATGTCGAATTATCTATTATTTAGTGAATGTTCTATACCGCCGCAGGCTGGTTCCAACTGCATCCTGGTGGCTGGTCCTGCGCCTTGTCTATGGAATGTATGTTTTTTAAAACCATTTTTTATTGGAAGCCGAGGCAAGTGCAGAACTAAACCAAGGGCGCTTTCTTTGATTCCACAAAAACAGAGGTAAAAGGTTCTTTGGAAATAAGCCCAAGCAATTATTTCATACAGTCGCGTAGCAAGCCATTTTTTTCGTGTAAGCCCGATAGGTTGCAGAGCTATATATTTAGATAGTATTGAGGGCTTGCCCAAGTTACATAGCAAAAATTGTGTAAGCACGGGCTATTCTATAAATTTTAATGGTAGCTACGCCCCTGTTGAAGAAACGTTTTTCTACACCGCTGCCAGTATATACGAGGACTTGATGGGTTCTGGCATAGATTCCTTGTGTGGTCATCTGATGGCATGTGTTTAGTGAGAAGGTGGGATGGGGTTGGATTGGATGGGATTGGTGTTGCAAACTAGTGGCTGATATTGTGAGCATCATCCGCTCTGGTACAGATGACACACAATCAACAAAGTCACGGTACTTTATATGTACCGCAATGCTGATTTCATCCGACTCCAGTCTTCCATAACTGTAGTAACCAAGGACGGTTTCCTTTCAGCCTCGTTACGGTCCGAAAGGGGAGACAATTACAGACGACATTCTGAGTAACTCATCAGGGGAGACAACTGGCACTGACAGTGGCCGGGGCTACAGTGAGGAGGACAGTCACAGTCAGGGCAGGAGTTCTCTCCCTTCAGAAACAGGTGAAATCCGGATGTGCTGGCATATAGGTTAACACCCTTCTGCTTTTTATCAACGCATATTAGGGCAAACGGAATCACAAATTGAATGTACATTACGTCGGTATAACGAACAACCGACATGACGAACATAGCCTATAATCCAACAGCGTAACCTGCAGTATTGTCTACAATCACGCATAAGATCATATCAGATCTCTCGAAATAGCGGTCGATCTTTACCAATGGCCCAGCATCAACAAGTAATGTCTAGTTGCAGTTTCACCGTTTGTTCTAGAAAGCGATCAATACTTTTTCTGTTGCAGTTTATAATATAACTACAAGTGTAAAGAAAATGCCTATTTGTCACACAGAGAAATGAATAATAATGTAACAGAATATTTTGGTATTAGCTTGTGATAACCGCCAATTGTAGAATGTAATATATTTGTGCAAAACAGACTTCGGTTATTGACGTGACCAAAAGAACCGTTATTTCGGGACGGAGTCAGTTGAAAGAAAACTAATATAGACAAAACCGCAAATTAGTCTCTATATACGACCTCGGTATTCTGTTCGACATATTTTTTACATATCTGGGCGGCACGTTTTATTGATTATCGGATGCAGTTATTACATTACATCCTGTTGCTGTATTTCATTACATTGCACAAAGTGATTCCGTTCGTCCCGAAATGCCCAACAACGCGCATCTCTATTCAAATTACCTATGATGAATACGACAATCATTGATCATATGGTAATTTGTGGTAGACATAGTTATATTGCTGTGCTTGTTTTTCCATCGGCCCACAAAAAATGATTGCGCTGATGTAATTTAGTAGTTTTCTTGCACGTAACCTTTTAAGTGGCTTTGCAAGGTCGATTTTTGTTAACGTTTCCGTACTTTTTAGTAGTTTCTATTGCATTATGCTGCATGTGTGGTGTGATGTCTCGATTTTGACCGGAATTTTCTAAATCTGTCCAGATTACACTTACCTCCCACAACAAGTGAGGGCACAAAGTAAGTTAACACAAGGTCTCTATGCCACTTTTTACATCCTAGAAATGGATTTCTTGCTTTTCTAAGATGTGTTCAAAAGAAGTTTTTAGCTGGAATGCCTTTTCCGAGTGTACGTATTTTTACTTAAATGAAAAATATATTAAATTCCTTGGAAGATGGAATGACACAACACATTTGCGAAAAAATGCAGCATGGACGTTTTTTTCTTCAGAGTGGCAGTCTGGCAAATGTATTTCATAAGTCAGGCATTTTTTAAAAGAAACATATCGACCATAACCTTATACATCCAAGAACTGTCGACGTTTCCTTGCCCTTTAGGAAGGTAATTGAAACACACACAAAAAATCACACACATTTTCAACGATTTTATGTAACATGTATTCCTTCGTGGGGCTTGTTCAGAAACATGTGTTACAACAGTACAGTTGACAATGGGTTGTTGAAGAACCGCGTTACTCCGTGCAGAGTTATGTCCCTTAGGTACCAGGATCCGGTGATCATAGATTGAAATCCGATTAACATTATCTCTGTGTAATGTATAACTGATCCTGAGGTTTCAAGCTTAATAAACGTCAACTACCTTTTCATGTTGGTACTCCATTGAACCGACACGTCCGATACAACTGAAACACTATAACGTCAGCCTCTCCCATACAGGATTTTCCTGTAGGCAAAGACATGGATAGTTATACGATACAACAGACCGAACTGACACTATTATCTGTTGGTTCAACACAAATGAGTTAATGAAAGTCAATAGGAAGCAGCCATGAAGCGCGCACGACCTCAGTGTTGGCGTCGGACAGACAGCGCTGTGGTCGTAACCAAGGCGTCAATGTTAACTTTATGTGCGACTAGTTGTGATGTGACAGTATATCATTGTTGACTGTGTTAGCGTCAATACTGGGAACAAACTACTTCATTACAACTAATTTTAGACATTCCAGTATTTCACCTCGTCACGGATGTGAGACGTTTTATCTGTTCGTTGTTTAATATGAGTTCTTCGGAAACTGTCTCTACTGGGGTTTGCTGCAGGATTGCTGACACTTCCATTTTCCCTACTAACAATACCTCCTGGAATGTTTGTTTGGGCGGTGGGGTAGCCTAATGGTTAAAGCGTCCGCTCGTAACGCCGAAGACACGGGTTCGATTCCCCACATAGGTACAATGTGTGAACCCATTTCTGGTGTCTCCCGCTATGATATCGCTGTAATATTGCTAGAAGCGGCGTAAAACCATACTCACTCACTCCTGGACTGTTTCTAATATATATTAATATATATCTTTATCGCATACCTTCAAATTTCTTTTGACATTATTTTTGACTTTGGAATAGCAATCGATAACAAATGCATGTTTGAGATTTGAAAAACAAGATGGCGCCCAAACGAGTGAAGTGTGTGTACGGTGCGGAAGGACTACTTCATCACTGCATGAAGAGTCAAACTAGTGTTTTAGACTTTATGTCTTTCATCTTAAAAGTACAAGCATTTGACTGTCACTCTTTAAAACAGTGTGAAAGATGTAAGATGTGAGTTGGGTTTAACGCCGTTTGTTGATAAACTCAGGAACATAATCAGCGAGTTTGGGATTCGAACCCACGATCTTAGGTTACCCACGTGTAAGTCGTGACACCCTAGATGACCTGGCCAACCTACTGTTCATGATCCGTATATTACATGGGCTTGATGCACTTGTTTCAGACTGTCCACTAACCTGTAGATCTCTATTTTCAGATGACTCTGGATTTCCAATTGTGAGATTCGACTGCATTCGGGATCAGAAGAAAACAAGTATTATTCCACAAAATAGACAACGGAATAGTATTCCTTTGGTCCGGCAAGGCGATGTGTCCATGTTGCCACCGGCGTTAAAGTCTGACCACAGACAGAGAACTCTAGACTCAGTGACCTTGAAAAACAATAGTTCCAGAAAGAAGCCCTATTCAGTTCACTTCGATCAGGACTCTCAAAGTGATTTCCAAACACACGTACCTCGCTATCTTGGAACATTTGCACCGCAACCACGTCCAAGGTCGAGGAATTCCGACGCTAATCTTACCTTTAAGAAAGGACTTACTGGTTATTCCTTGGATAATCTAAACGACAGCGTGGATGATGATAACACTACCACGACTTCCGGGAGCTACACGATAGACCATGATGACCCGCCAGACGAAATGATAACATTTTCTGGGTTTGGACTTAAGGATGTGTACGTGTAGCCTGGTCCACGTGGTGTGGCAAGGGACGCAACTCTTGTGACCTTGTAGACTGGTACTCAGCCGTCGTTGCGACTGCTCGACTGGACTCTATTCTACTGATGTGTGAATGGATTTGGGGACAATCTCATGAAGTGATTCTGTGTGTTGTGGGAATGTAATTTATGGATGAATATGTATGCGTTTTAGTCACAGAATTCCAACCAGCTTTCATGCCCGTTCATTTAACTGAGCATCATTTCATCTAGTCCAAGCATAGTAAGCATTTCTCGGATGAGATTTCATCCATCGGATTCCATCATGTCAAATCTTCATTCGTCATCACTCGTGTCTTTCCGTGACAAATGGGATTGTCTCGGAATGACACGAGTAGCCGTGAATGGTGAATATAATTTCATGACGAACATCAATTGGTGCATATATAAACGGTTGAAATTAATGATGTGTTCATTGGATTTAGTCCACATTTGACTAATGTCTTGACACTGTATTGTATTAAGATGTAATTGTTTACAGGAATTTGAATATTACCCTCTCAGTGTATAAAATACATTGAACATTGTACGGTGTTTTGTTTCCAAAGATAAGTTATAACCTGAAACAGTACAAATGCAGCAACGTCTTCGTATCTACGCATCTTTTCAAGGCCAAACCTGTGCTTCTTGAATATTGCCCTGATTTAATTTTGTTTTGTAAATGTTGTCTAATTTAAGATATGTTTTCAGCCTCATTTTGTTTAAGAATGTTTTTGGGAAATAAGTTTCAAGTCACCATATTACAAATTGGCAAATTATTATAATTATTCTTTTTGAATGGGTATATTGACCAATTTAAGCCCAAATATTAAATACATATATTGATCTTGCCTGTGGATGGAAGTAATTGTTAGCTTAGTGAACTCAAATTTATAATTCATTTCTTTCAATAATAATTAAGTGGTTCAATGTGGCTGCTTCAAATGTTGATTAGCTTGTAGGGGACGTTTTGATACCACAAGTAACGCCAAACTGTAAGTAGTGTCTCCTTTAATTCACTTGTCAAATACCGACCGTAAATCTTCCTTACTGGGTGCTGAAATTTGCCTGTCGTAATGGTACCATGTCATAAGTGATAATTATACAAAACATTTATTTGTTGTTTAATGCCGGAGCTATATGACGGCGGATTGACATCATGGATCGGTCTACGCATTGTGTGATTAGCACTGATTACTGGTGAGAATTTTGTCCACCAATGTCACCAGTTACGTCGTCGTCCCACAACCCCGTTGGACGTCGCTGACCACTGCAATCACTGTTTTATGTATATACCAGAATCTATCACTCGTAGATATCTACCTACGGTTGAAACGACTAACGCTCGTTCACCTTTTCCAATGGCATGCTGGTTAGCCCTACGACTGTCGCAGATCCATGTTAAAGTGTAGGAGTTACTTAGCGCTACGATCGCTTTGCGGACGACCCTCGCTCTTAGCGCAAGGACTGTCGGATCGATGTTAAAGCTTGGGAGGTACGATCGTCGTACATGCACAAAGCGATCTTAGCTCTGGGACTGTCGTAGATCTGTGTTAAATGTGGATTATGATCATCGTAGTGCTAAAATCGCCTTGTGCAAGGGGCCCCTCGCCTGTAATAAACTATGTTTAAACCAGGCGGCTGTGTAGGCTAGATGTCAGGCTGGTGAAAGGATAAGGTAGCTTTGTTAGCGTTGTTCATGATATCACTCACTGGTCTGTCCGGTCACAGCGGGGGTACAACCCCCTTCCCCCAAACAATATAAGAAACTAACAAGCCAAACGCCCTCCAGTGTTCGATCGTGTGTATGTGGAATTTCTGTAGTGTGAGATATATCAGTTATTCGATGGCTAGGACTTCATGAAATATACCACCTAGTGTCGGGGTGTAACCTCGACTGTCAGTTGGGTTTATCATTACGATGGTCTTCTTTGAACGATTGCAGAACTATTTCAGTGCGCAGCAACCATTCTGGCGTCATAATACCATACGACGTGATGTCATTCCGCCTTTGATAATAATCTTTCTTGGCTATAAATATTGTTTCCTAAATTCTCTATAAACAAAGACAGAGTTGATGGTTCTTGTACAACAAGAATATTTAGTAAATATTTTTGAAGACTAATTTCTATATATGTTTACGACATATATACACTTTTGTGCTCATAGTATTTGATACGGTCTTATCTTAACAATATAATACAATGCTCTGGGTATCCTCCCGTGACTTTATTTCAAAAACCATCGCCTCCGCCTACCATCAGTTTCGGTTTAAAACCCGTCTTACTCCATTATTTGCGGTAATGAAAAGTATTATATTTTCATGTATCGTCATGTTTATGACTTATTTATGAACCATTGTTTTCCATTGTTTGCGATGATTGTGTTATTGTTTATCAATAAAGAAAATAAACAATACAATAATGTGATCGTTTCTGTTTTACAGTTAGTTCGTGTTACCTGAATAGACATACAAGTCAAAACATTGATTACACAACAGTCTCGTTTCCATCTGACTGGGTTCCGTCCTATTGCGCAACTTAGTACAATAACCAGTCCAGAATTTTGTGACCAACTCATTCAACTGGATATATAAATATTAATCAATATTATTTGATACATCTAATCACTTGTATATTGCAACACTACGCTCCTTCTAATCATTACAAACACGCCGTGCAGCGTGCCCTGTCGTACACGGAACCTTTTACCATGTCTGCCTTTTTCGGTGCGTTTGGTCGATATGCTTTTAAATCAGAAAACACACTGATGATGGTAATTTTGTACGACCTCTTCAACTGTTAATCTGGATTGAAAACATGTTAACAAAACGGTACAATCATAAAAAAATCCACCACCTTACACAAAATTTTGCATTTGGTTTTGAAAGCGACGTTTCTTTTTGTGGTTCAGTATCCCAAGTGTGTAACGATCTGTGAATCTTACTCAACACTATAAAGAGACAAATATACTGAACCACAAAAGAAATGTCCGATAGCGGTTTCCTTAAAGCACACACTTTAATTCACTCGTATTAACAATCAAAACGGTGGACTGACAATTATGGTTAATACATTCACACAAACAAAATCACCACCAATGGTACCATTAAGATACCTCAAAGTCAGTATCGTGTGTGGCATCGATGAAAGCATTGCATCGTCTGTACATGCAATGAATTAGCAAGTTGATGAAAGCCATAGGCACTTGGGTCCATACTCTGCGAAATGCCTGATCGGGTCCAGGCGCAGTTGTCGGCCTAGGTTTGAGGCCATACAGTCTTCTTTGAATCTCGTCCCAAAGGTGTTCTATTGGACTTAAATCCGGACTGAGTGCGGTCTATTGTAGGATTTGGATGCCATGTTGTCTTAGGAAGTCCAATGTTGCTCTGGCAGTGTGGGCACGACCGTTGTCTTGCTGGAAGATGTGATTTCTGTAACGTCCAAAATGTGGTACAAAGTGGGGTCTTATGACTTAATCAATATAGCGAGCAGCTGTGACGTCATTTCCGCATCCTGGAGAAAGATTCTGGAACACCACGGTGTCAACTAACTGGTTCAGACTGACTGCACCCCTCACCATGATGCTTGGACCACCCCACGAGTCTCTGTGAAGAATACACTAATTGGAAAACATTTCCCACGCTTTGCCTTACTCTCACTCTGCCATCGACTGTCGAAACACAATATCAGCTTTCATGAGATAAAAGCACAGTTCTCCATTGTCGGTAACGCCAATATCGATGCTAAGTTGACCATTGCAGTCGGTTTTGGCGGTGATGAGCGGCGAGGACAGGACTACGATAGGGTCTGTGACAGCAGAGGTTTCTTCCGTGCAAACGTCGACGCAGTGTATCGGCACTGATGGGTCTGTTGTTAGTCCTAGTAGCATGGCGTGCTGTTTCCGTCGCTCTGGGGAACATGGGGAAGCGATCCTGCAGATGGTGGCGCACTATCTGTCGGTCTTGACGTTGCGATGTTACTGAAGATCGCTCACTGCGTGGACGGTCTTGGATGCTGATAGTGACCTGATACCACTGCTGCAGTCGGTAGATTGTCCTAACATGAACATTAAAATGATTGGCTACCCTCCGTGCAGTCTGGACAACTTGCAATCGTCCCAAGACTTGGTTCTTCTGATCTCTCGTAAGTCGTGGCATGGTGATTGTGTCAAAACAAAAATGATTTCAGGCAAGTTTGGGACTCGCTTTCATTGGTACGGTTGTCACTACATGCACGTGCATATTCATTTTCACGAATGTCATACGGAACCTTTTACCATGTCTGCCTTTTTCGGTGCGTTTTGTCGATATGCTTTTAAATCAGAAAACACACTGATGTTGGTAATAACTGTCAATTTGGATTGAAAAACATGTTAACAAAACGGTACAATCATAAAAAAATCACCACCTTACAAAATTTTGCATTTGGTTTTGAAAAGCGACGTTTCTTTTGTGGTTCAGTAAAGTGTGTAACGAAATCATACACTACTTACACTTTGGTATCTTTAATTCTGAACAATAACGCTGATAAATATCAGGTCTGTTGCTTTATACTTATATCATTTCAGAAATATTTCAATTCACAGAAATTACGTAAATGATCTTGCGCAAGAAACTTAATCATAGTGTATGTATTCTGGGCCGGAGGCCTGTTACTGAAATACACCTGTCTGTCTGGTTCGCCATACGTTATATCACAGAGCATCAGGCTTGAGTCGTCATCGTCGAACATGTATGTCTCGGGGCACACTGTATAGTTAGTCACACACAGACCCCGAAACAAATATATCCAAGAAAGCCCACGCAAGTCTAGAATATGTGGTAAGTCTAGATTTCCACACTTTCAAGACATTTCTGAAAATGAAGAAAGTCTCTGATCTCCTTTTCATTATATTTTATGATTTTTTATGAACATTTTTTTTCTGTAAATATGTTCATTTCAGGGACTAGATGTTAGTCTAACTGTATAGTGTGAAAAAAGAAAAAAATACTATTTACCTTACACCGCATGACAAAATGAATGACGGAATTACTAAGGATGCAGAATGTGAGTTTATGGCCAATGATGCATTGTTGCATCTTTGTACACAGGAAAACATGCAGAACGTAATGTTTATATCACATGTATAAATACAGGAGAAATTAGCTCAGATGAGATGTTTTGTAATCATTTTTGAACCCACAGATCGCTTAGCAACCCTACACATGACAGCACAGTCCGCCGTCAACGTTGCTACATAACTAGCATCATCACACCCGGGTTGACAAACATCGTTAAACTGCAGTAGGACAACAACATAATCATTCTGAAATAGATTTACAAAAGAAGCATCGAGAATGGTGTCTTGTTTCTAACATTCCTATCTGATATCTGATTACATCGTGCGAGGTGTAAGAAGGTGGAATTCATTTTCTGCATCTCCATAGTAACGCTAGTGTCACGTGCTTTCCTTGAGAGATGTGGCCGACAAATATCGACCTGACTCAACCTCCTGTGATGGTTTTCACACTTTTTATATTTTGAAAACTGACAATTATATTATATTTATGGTATACACAGGCTTCGTCTCTGTGTTCCAGTAACGGAGTGCAGAGTTATGCCCCTTGTAATCACCCCGTGCATACCGCCAATATATCATGGCGACTTGTAAAGAACCGAGTCTGGAAAACACAAAGCAGTGGTCTGTAATATATAACGCCGTCGGGAAATGACAACACACCAACGCCGTCACCGTTCCTGAACACTCCAGCATGGACAGGTTTCGTGTTTTAATTGATAATGCGTCAGTCTTGATCTTCTCGGATCAATGCTGTCTGGTGAGTGAGTGAGTGTGTTGGAGGGTGGGTGAGTGAGTGGGTGGGTGTTTGGGTGAAGGAAGTGAGGGAGTGAGTGAGTGAGTGGATGGGTGAGTCAGTGAATTTAGTATAACGCCACTTAGAACAGTATGTAAGTTTTATCAAGGCACAACAAATTCATTAATATACATATTCATAATTTCCTTCTCTTTGAAACTTATGAAACTTGATCCGACATTGCATCGACTGTGGGGGCTGTGCTGTAGCCTAGTGGTTAAAGCGTTCGCTCGTCACGCCGTAGACCCGGGTTGATTCCTCACATGGGTACAATGTGTGAAGTCCATTTCTGGTGTCCCCCGCCGTGATATTGCTGGAATATTGCTAAAAGCGGCGTAAAACCATACTCACTCACTCACATTGACCTTGGTTTAAAACACTTTATTGCTATCGTCCTTAGTAAGTCCCCTATGTTGGGTTACTTCCATTGAGCACATACTGTGTTCTATATATACAGATGAAACAGTGTGTGTGCGTGTGCGTTTGCGTGTGCGTGTGCGTGTGCGTGTGCTTGAGATAGATAGATGGGACATGAGGATGGGTTGTATGTTTCAGATCGGTACGGTTGATGTCATATATGTGTACATATTGTACTAGAGGACCGCCACGTCAAGAAGGCAGTGAGCAGGTCGTGTTTACACCACAACGT